ATGTATGTATGTATGTATGTTCATGTATGTAACTCATCTTATGTAAATATGTATGCATGTGTGTTTTATGTAGGTATGTCTGTATGTCTGTATGCATGTATGTATGTATGTATGTATGCATGTATGTATGTATGTATGTATGCATGCATGTACGTATGTATGTATGTATGTATGTACGTATATACAACTGTATATAGCTACACATATAACTAAATATAGACACAGTGTACATGTACATGCACAACTGGACATGTGTGTACATGTATATGTACATGTGTATATATATATATATATGTATCCATATATATATATATATATGTATGTATGTATGTATACTTGTATACAGATGTTGTGTATATATATATATATATGTGTGTCTACATATATATATATATATATCAAACGAACGCAACGCGCTCCCCCCATGCTTGGAGCAGGTCGAAGATCTCACGCTGCTGTTGCAGGAGGTCCTGGAGGTCGCTTTGCTTTGGGCCGAGACCCTAAGGGTGCAGAGCACCGTCTAGGCTTTATAAGTAGGGCCTTGCAATGTTGTAGAGTTCAGGGTTTGTAGGATTTAGGGAAAACTGACGGGGTTCAAAGCCCAAGCTTGAACTAAGGTTGCAGAAGGCTCTTGTAGAGGGTTTTCAGGTAGGGTTGGGGTTTGGGCTAGTAGTAAAGAGGCTCCGGGACATCTGCGTGCTGTTTAGAAGCGTCTTGTGGCGATTTCACGGTGTCTTACTTTGGAGTTTCAATACTTCGGGTTCAGGGATTGGGGTTTAGGGATTCGGAACCTAGTGCTTTGGCTGCTTTTTAGGCTTCGAGACTCAGGGTGTGGGTTCAGGGCTTGTTGTTCGGGCGTCGTCGTAGTGATCGTGGTAGGATTTTAGTGCTTTCGAGATGTGTTGCTTGGTAGGGCGGGTGGCTTTGTTTTGAGGGCTTGGGGCTTAAGCTGCTTCGGGTTCTTTGTAGGATGAGATGGCATGGGGTATTGGCAGCTTCGGGATGCAAGCCATATCACCCTAGCTCTGAATATACCACGTCCCTACACCCCCAAACCTCCACCCCTATACCTTTGCGAAAAACTCAAAAACCTTAACGTTACGAAAACCTAAGTCCCAACCCAGACCACCGGCAGGATGCAAAAAGTAGATCCCTTACGGGGGTTCCTATGAAGTACCCTTTAGTAGTATAGGGTCCCAAATTAGGGGTTCTACTTTCCAGATCCTTCCGGGGGTCTGGGAACTGGAACTTCCGGGCGCAGGCATACCCAGACGTGAATGCGGTGAGCTGTGGGGCCATTCTGAGCCGGTTGCCCAGGGAGTTCTCGCAGATCCCAGGATTCGGTTTAATATAGGAGCCGACATATTTACCAATACTATTTTGGTAGGTTCCTTATTAAAGTCATGGTATAATATACCTCCAAAACCAAGCCTAATTATTGAGGCCCCTGCATTAGGTTTTTGGGTTTGGGGGCTTTGGGGTGCCTAGAAGAGTCATTCATGGGGTGGTTTCGATTTACTGCTTTGTAGGATGCGGGGATGGGGTTTCCAGGGTTTGGGTGGAGCCCTAAACCCTAAACCTAGAGTTTGGATTGTGGGGTTGCCGCGAAGTTTGCGGGTTCCTGAGAGTTCAAGCTCCGGGCCAGCAAGGGGAGGGAGGGGGGTTTTCGAACTCACCGGCTCAAGGCACAAGAACTGCGTTTGAATAGTTTCAGAAGGGCCTACCTGTAGATTGAGAGACAATAACCAAGGATAGGACTCACACTGAAACTGAGCCTTGCGACCCTCAAACCTCCAAATCTAAACCCGACGAGCCTTATGCTCGCAAATGCGTGAGACCCCTCTATCACATTCCCTAC